CTCACAGTAAAAAAATAATGAACAATTCATTCACGTCATAAATGGATTTATAAACCCGAAATATACTATACGATAGTTTGTACATTTCATCCAAAAATTGGAAAAAACTAAACAGAGCTGGTTTGGTCTCCGAAAAAGACTATTGCAAAGGTAAAAACGATTACGGTGACGGTGGAATTATATTTGGTTTATATTTAGCACCAAAAGTCAAATACAACATCGTTTTGACTTCTGATGGTGTCTTAAAAGAAAAGAAAACGTTTAAAGGTTATTCTAATGATAAGATAAGTGTAGAAGATTACGTTCAGTTAGCAAGCGGACATGATGTGTCGAACGAATTTAATAAACCATGGGAAAAAAGTTTCACCAATGGAGTAGTTATTCCAAATGATAAACAAACTAAAGTTTTTAGAAGTTATTTGAATAATGTTAAAAGAAAACCACCAAAAAGTGAAGGAATTATGTATCCTTACAACGACAAAGATGAGTATAGTTTTGACGAAAACTATGAATTTGATGATTTCGATTATCTTTCTAATCAAGAAGAGAATGAAGATTGTTTTAAATGAAGTTGAATGACAATTTTTTCGTTGCCAAAGTCTATGAACCTGTTTGTACCGTCTTTGATTTCCAGATTTATATCTTAGATCATGAAAGAATTGACTGGTAAATAGGTCGTTTGAAACGGTTTCTCTATAATTCTGTATCCGATCGGCACCGTAAAAGTCGGTATGCTGTATATGATTTGGCGTTTGTGCTTGTTGAAAAATCCACCGTTGATCAAATTGCAGTGAATGTTGATCACGTCGATGTCGTTCTCGATGTTGGCCTTGTGCGGCACCAATGTCGATTGCGCGTATATTCGTTTATCGAACCCTAGTAACGCATTCAACGAATTTTCTACGTTGAAATCGACTTGACTGTTATTTCTCAAGATCAGTTTTATTTTGTTCAGATTCAAATCGAATTCGATATTGTTTTTACCGTTCACGCTTCCTGCGTATTCGGATAGGTATTCGTTGATGGCTACGTATTCGTAGCTCCCCGGTAGTAAGCTTATGGTTTCGAACGTAACTCCGTTATCCGTCGATATTTTTAGTTGATTGTTTTTTTCGTTGATTTTTCTAATGGAATTGTAAACGGAGAAATACTTTAATCCCAGTTCGTACTGTTTATTGCGATCGAGTTCATACTCGTAGTCTAGAGACAATTTGATGTCTGGTTTATTCGAGGTGATAACGAACAATTGTTCTTTATTGGACATTTTTTAATGACGTTTATATAGTCTTTTTTAGTGATATGCCATTGACTTCGTTGTATTGTCTGTCCGATCGATGACCTTCTTTCATGGCCGCTAATATTATTTCTAATCTATTAAGCAATTCTTTATTGTTGTCAGATAAAAACTTTATACCTTGTCCAGATGCCACCATATCATCGAATTCGTCTATTTCTTGTATGATTGGATAATCTTCTGCATAATCATCTACCTCCTCTTCATCTTGCTCTATAACTTTTGTTATATATAAATCAACTTCTTTCAATCTTCTTGTTTCGGGTCCTGACTTTCTGATCGCATGTAGAAATTTTGAGTATGCTACTAAATCCTTGTAATCGGCAATTTCAACATCCTCGCCATTCATTAAATCTATTAACCCTCTCGTTAATGTGTATATGTAATCTTTTGTATCGATTATAAATTCGGGGGTATTTGTCCTAAATCTTGTTCTAAAACCATTGAACAACAAACCCGCTTCATCAATGATTGGTGAAATGCTTTTTGGTAATTCTGGGCTAGGGTTTGAATAAAGACGTTTACATCATCTACTGTCCTAATTATAACACCACTATATTCAATCGCTTTGGGGTGATGAGGTGGGGTTCTATACGAGGCGTGGGTTCTATAGCAAATCTCTTTTTTAAAATCTTCTTGACTTTTTAATGTAATGGAGCTATATTTTAGGTGTAAATATTATTGTTTAAGTTTATCCAGGTTTTAATTATTGTTTATGTTTTATAGCACAGTTCACTTATCTTCTTTCTTTCTATCTCTCTCGTAATACTTATTCATCTGAGTGAGTTCATTTCTTCACTCACTCACTCTCCCTCTTCACTCACTCACTCTTTCTCTCTTTCCATTGGTCTCTACCATGGTTTTCTGGTTTGTTTACCCAGACTCTCCTTGGTTTCTGCCTTTTCTGTATCTTTTTGCCTTCACAACTATATTAGTAAAGACCTTCTCTTTGCTAGTATCAGAAGTTTTGTTTGTCTCTTTTCACATTTGGATATTGTGTTTTGTGAACACTGGATTTTCTCTAGTTTTGGCTATATAATAGTTTGTATTCAAGCCCTTTGCTTGATACTTATTGGTGTTTAAAACCCCTCTTTAGGTGTTTTTGTTATATGTTATAAACCTTTAAAAACTTAATTGGATATGTGGTTTCTCAAAACTCATTTGCTGACCACCCATTTCATTAATATGGGTTGAAATAGAGTCTGAAGATTTTCCGTTAATCCGAGTTGTTGTAATCTGTTATTTTCAACTTGGGTCTTTATTTTATTCTTAGCTTTGATATATTCTCTATTTCTTTTTAAAAAATTATTCCAATCCGTCATTTTTAAAAAAATAAAATTAACATATATCGATCATAACTCTTTCTCCCGCAGGTTTTCTAGTATTTACAAATACATATCCATGATCATCTGGGTTTCTCCATTGAGCTTTACAAACCTTTTTAAATGTATCTCTATCCATTCCGTGATTTATAGACTGAATGATTTGAGATAAATCTTTATCATTTAATTCAAATAATAAAAAACAATTTGCATTTTTTCTAATGAACATAGAATCCATCCCGTAAAAAGATTGGGATTGGTATATGCAGTGACAGTTGTGATGTCTTCCTTTGGTGAAGAATTCTTGTTGAACAGTTTGATTTCTTTGCGCTACGCAGTCGTCAAACAATATTAAGTTCTTTCGATTGCTATCAATATTAGACAAGTCTAGATCATTAACATTTTCGTAAGAAAAACTTTTATATCCGTTGGATTGAAAGATGGATTCTTTGATTTAATGAAGTTTTCTATGATATCTTTTATTTCCACTTCTTCTTCGTTTTCTTCGTAATATTGAAATATGTCTTGAACATCTTTCTTTGGTAAATATTCCAAAGCTTTGGGGAATTGATAATACGATTGCTCTGGTGTTGTTGTGTAGATATACAGAGAATCGAAATCTAAAAGGTTTGGTGTTGTTAACATGTTCAAAGTGAGATGAGTTTTCCCAGAACCTGAACTACCGCAAATACACATGAGCATTGGGTTACTAGGAAATATGTCCGAATGTTTGAATTTCTTGCCCATTTTTATTTATTACATTTTCGTACCAAAAATCACCCCGTTGCCTTTATACTTTGAAAGGAAGATTCCCTCGCCCGAACGTATGTTTTTAAAAAATATGGCGTTGCCCTTGTGTTTGACCTTCATTTCTCCAGTGTCGATTTTATCTATTAATTTGCTTAATCCCTCTTTAACGGTTTTCTGGTTTCTTCGCCAAATCTTTGTCCGAATTCTTTAACCGTCCCTAATATATCTCCTACTCCCGAACCTCCTCGTGCTTCTCTTTCCATTGCCAAATTGTGTCTACGTGCTTCGGCGTTTGCAGCGGCTTCAGCTTTCTTATCGTTGACAGCTTTGGCTATCCCAGCAGCTCCACCAGCAGTTGCACCGGCTGCAGCTAAACCAGCAAAGATTAAAGGTAAGAAAGGTAAAAATCCACCTTTTTTAGTTAAATTCTCATCAATTCTTCCCAAGTTTATATCGTCTCTGACTTTGCAATGTTTGTATTTATCGATAATCTTTTGGGTTATATGCACTTTTTTACCGTTGTAAGTTATTAGAGTCGGCGAATTCGTTTCCATAGCTTCTATTATTTTCATAACTAAAGTTTCTGGTTTCATTTTTAAAGGGTGTTTTTTTATTCAATTCTTATCATTCTTCTATCTGATATTTTAATCAAATGTTTTGCTTCTTCCAGCAATAAACAGTAGCCGGTTACATCTCCTTGTGTTTTATCGATGTGAATATTTATGTTTACCCCTGTTTTGAAAAGATCTTCTTGATGAGCTGACAGATCGAAACAAAAGATTGGATTATTAAGTGAAAAATCTGTGTATTCAAACTGAGGCGTATTTCCAAACAATTCGCACATGTTTTTATAGTTTCTGTACAATTCGTTGTAATCTTTTTTGGAAGGATCAATTGTCAAAGGTTGATTGGGATAATTATCGTTGTTCAATCTGACTTGAACTTTGCGAATGATGGGATCTTGAGTATGTTTCAATGCCACTCTGAAAATGTTGTTGTTGTTTGTCTGAGAGTCTGGCAAATTTTTGAAACCAACCATTAGATACCTCACTGGTTTGACGGTGTTGGTGATTGGCCACGTGGTGGATTCTCCCGTTAAAGTCATGCTACCTACCGTGTTACGACGAAGAAAAGCAATTTCGATGTCTTTGGTTAAAGAGTTGAATATCCTCGTTTCCACTTCTACGGAAGGAGTGATTACCGGTATGTAAAGTTGGATATTCGTTATTTCCAATTTTGCGTCAGAGTTGTTTTCACCAAAGAATATCTTGTTGTCGTTGATTTCTCTTTGCAAATGAATTTTATACGGTAAACCTATGGAAACCTTTCTGTGTTCCAAAAGACCAAATAAAGGATACAACTTCCAATTTACGTAATTACCCCATCTGTTGTTCTCGACAGCGTTGTTGTATTGAAGCGCTAGTTTTTCAAATCCGTGATTTACTCCGCGAGTCACTCTTTCCAGTGTCCTATCAAGGTCTGCGTCATTTGCTATAGTTCTGACCGGTTCTTTTAAAACTTCTCCGTCACCGACATCGGGAATCCATCCCGAAACTGAATCGTAGTTTTTGGGATAGAGAACCGTTTTCAACATTGTGTCAAACTCGCCGGGGTGTTTTATGGTCTCTATCGGATTTGAACCAGCTTCCAAAACCATTTCGCTGAATAAAGACGGAAAGAAGTTGTTTTCTAAAGTCGTATTGGTTTGTGGAATTCGATTCTGAGTGGCGTCTTTGATTTTGAAATCGCATCGGAAATGGGCATCGGAAAGCAGCAACCAATTGGACAACGAATTAATTTCAAAGGTAACTCTTCCTCCGTCGTTTATTTGGGTCTTTGTCCCTACCGATGGTGAGATGATTACGTAATCCTCTTTCTTCTTGTTGAACGAATATTGAATCGGATCATACAATTGAAAGATTGGATCCAATCTGTAATTTTTGCTTGCCATTTTTATCCAATGATTTTAAACCCTTTTCCTTGTTTCTCTAGGGCTTGTCGTTCTAGTCTCTTGTTTCTTAGTTCTCTTATTAGCTGCAGATCTTTAAGTTCGTCAGATTTTTTCACTGCATCGCTTATATTTACTGCTTTTGCCACAGAACCAAGAGCTTGCGCTTCTGAGGAAATGAGGGATTTGTTGTTTGAGACAAAATTGGCCAAAATTATGTTTTAAAATTAAAGACATTTTTAATGCGGTTATTTTATACTGTATTATTATAGTGATTCTTGTCTGTGGTTTTGGTAATTTATAATACAGTTTGGGGGGAGTGTGTTATAATACATTTTTAACAGTTTGGGAAGTGTGTTATAATACATTTTTAACAGTTTTGGGAGTCTGTTATAATACATTTTAACAGTTGTGTCTTTTCGGATATGACGCATTGTAAAAGCTGCGCATGCGCAGAAGTGAAATGCGTCATATCCGAAAAGACATATACTACTAAATCCAAGACCGTCTGCATGCATTTCTGTAAACGAAGAGGATTGCTCCTAGATCCAGAACTAAAGCTGGATGGTGCTGTCATTCCTGTTGTGCGGGAATTTAAATTTTTGAGACTAACTTTTGACAGCAAGCTTTCTTTTCGTCCCCATATTAAAATCCTCAAGAACAAATGTCTGAAAGCTCTCAACATACTGATAGTCTTATCCAATACTGACTGGGGAGCCGACTGAACGGTCCTCCCCCGATTATATCGAGCTTTGGTTCGTTCCAAGCTCGATTATGGGTGTCAGGTGTATGGTTCGGCTCGTCAATCCTATATCAAAGAGCTTGATGCCATACACCATCAAGGACTTAAAATCAGTTTAGGTGCGTTTCGCACTACTCCAGTTGAAAGTCTGTATGTCGAGGCTAATGAGCCCTCATTGTACGACAGACGTGACAGGCTTTCATTGCAGTACACTATCAAGATAGCATCATTGCCACAACATCCTGCTTACTACCCCGTATTTAGACCTTACTTTGAACACCTGTACGAGGCAAAGCCTCTTCTTTTGGAGTCCGCATTCAACCCCTTATGTCAGCGGCTGGTATAAGCCACGACAGTATTGCGGACTTTGCGATGACCACTATTCCACCTTGGTCAATTGCTCCACTCCAAATAGACTTTAGTCTATCGAGCAACAAGAAGTCACAGACAAGCTCCGTTGTCTTCAAGTCTAAATTTCTTGAACTAAGGTCTAAATATGGGGATTTTGCTCCTTTCTATACAGATGGGTCTAAGGATGGTGATAAGGTAGCAGCCGCTACAGTTACACCACGAAGTTCTATCTGTAGCTCTTCCACCAGCAGCCTCAATATTTATTGCAGAACTCATTGCCATTTTACAGGCACTTGAGTTTTTTCAGTCCTCTACATCATTAAAAAAATGTATTATATTTTCTGATTCTTTGTCCTCATTACAAGCTATTTATAACATCCAGCTAAGACTGCTTTGTCACTGCCTGTTTCTCCCTTTTCTTTGTCTTTCACCGATTTTAAATTGGTGATAAGGTCATTTATTCAACATCGATGGCAGCAAAGATGGGATGCTGCAGACACTAACAAGCTTCATGCCATTAAGCCTCTCCTAGGAGACTGGCCCTCCTCGTATTGTGCCAACAGGAGAAATTAAGTTGTTTTGTGTCGCTCTCGTCTTAGACATACCTCACCAACTGTTATTTGCTCAAGCGAGAGCCTCAACCAGTCTGTGAGCACTGCCAGGTCCGCCTGACAGTGAAACACATTCTGATTGAGTGTAAGCATCTCAAACCTATAAGATCACAGCACTACCGTGCTGTTTCTTTATTTCAGCTTTTTGCTTTTTTAAAACAAGCAGGTCTTTATTTTAAATTTTAAATAGATTAGTCATTGTTTGTTTTAAATATTTTGTTTGTTTTTAATACCACCATGTGGTGTATTACCTGTGATATTGTTTTTAGTGTTTTTTTTTGTAGTCATTAAATGACTTTTTCTGTGATATGGTTTTTATCGTCTTTTTTTTTGTCACTATGTGACCTTAATGTGATATTGATAGTGTTTATTGTTTTAGTTTTTTTTATTATTTTAACGAATTCTGGAGCTATATAGCCCGTTTGGTGCTGATGCTCCTTAATACATTTCATTTCATTTTATTTACTATATTCAATCGGCTTTGGGTGATCTTTATGAGGTGATGGTTCTATATATTGGTTGAAATAGAGTTTGTAGATTTTCTGTTAATCTAAGTTGTTGTAATCTGTTATTTTCAACTTGTGCCTTTATTTTATTCATAGCTTTGATATATTGTCTATTTCTTTTTAAAATATTATTCCAATCACCAATTTTTAAAGAAATAAAAATAACATATATCTTATAACATATACTCTTTCACCTGCAGGTTTTCTAGTATTAACGAATATATATCCATGATCATCTGGGTTTTTCCATTGAGCTTTACAAACCTTTTTAAATGCATCTCCGTGATTAATTGACTAATTGAATAATTTGAGATAAATCTTTGTCGTTCAATTCGAATAATAAAAAACAATTTGCATTTTTTCATTGCATCCATTCCGTAGAAAGATTGGGATTGGTATATGCAGTGACAGTTGTGATCTCTTCCTTTCGTGAAGAATTCTTGTTGAACAGCTTGATTGCTTTGTGCTACACAATCGTCAAACACTATTAAGTTCTTTCGCTCACTATCAATTTTAGACAAATCTAAATCATTAACATTTTTCGTAAGAAAAACGTTTATGTCTGTTGGATAGAAAGATGGATTCTTTTCTTTTATATATGTATTATAAGATATCTTTTATTTCCGCAATCTCATTGTTATCTTCATAATATTTAGAAATGAAATATTTCTGAATGATAAAATTTCTTTCCCATTTTTTTATTCTACGTTTTTGTTCCAAAAATCACTCCATCTCCTTTATATACTTTGAAAGAAAGATTCCCTCTCCAGAACGTTTGTTTTTAAAAACTATGGCATTACCCTTATGTTTGACCTTCATTTCTCCAGTGTCGATTTTATCTATTAGATTACTTAATTCCTCTTTAACAGTTTTCATGGTTTCTTCACGCTGCTTTCTTGGCGTTGATGGCTTGTGTTATCCAAGCCGCCCCACCAGCAGTCGCACCTGCTGCGGCCAGACCAGCAAATATCAAAGGTACGAAAGGTAAAAATCCACCTTCTTTTGCTTTCGCGTCAATTCTTTCCAAATCTATATCATCACGGACTTCACAATGTTTATATCTATCGATATCTTTTCTCTTTTTTTTTAGATATTTTGATCTTTTTACCATTGTAAGTTATTGTAGTTGGTGATTCCGTTTCGATAGCTTCTATTATTCTTTTTACTAAAGTTTCTGGTTTCATTTTTAAGAGGGTAATTTAAATGATTATTCTATACGAATCATCCGTCTGTAGGATATTTTAATTAGATGTTTTGCTTCTTTCAATAATAAACAATAACATTAACCGGTTACATCTCCTTGTGTTTATTTCAATATAAATATTTATATTAACTCCTGTTTTGAAAAGATCTTCTTGATGAGCTGATAGATCAAAACAGAAGATTGGGTGATTAATTGCAAAATCTACATATTCAAACTGAGGTGGATTTCTAAATAATTCACACATATTTTATAGTTTCTATACAATTCATTATAATCCTTCGTGGATGGATTAATTGTTAAAGGTTGGTTAGGATAATTATCATTGTTTAATCTTACTTGAACTTTATGGATTAAAGGATCTTGAGTTTGGTTTATTGCTACTCTAAAGATATTATTGTTATTCGTTTGAGAATCTGGTAAGTTTTTGAAACCAACCATTAAATATCTCCAGTTAAAGTCATGCTACCTACCGTGTTACGACGAAGAAAAGCTATTTCAATATCTTTAGTTAATGGGTTGAATATTCTCGTTTCTACTTCAATTGATGGTGTTATTATGGGTATGTAAAGTTGGAGATTCGTTATTTCTAATTTTGCATCTGAAGCATTCTCTCCAAAGAATATCTTATCATCATTAATTTCTCTTTGTAGATGAATTTTATGTGGTAACCCTATGGAAACTTTTCTGTGTTCCAACAGACCAAATAATGGATATAACTTCCAATTTACGTAATTACCCCAACTATTATTATCAACGCTATTGTTATACTGAAGTGCTCGTTTTTCGAATCCATGATAAGCTACTCGTGCTACTTTTTCTATTGTGTTTTTAGCAATAGCTAAATCCGCATCATTTGCAATATTTCTTACCGGTTCTTTTAAAACACTTCCATCATCAACATCGGGTATCCAGCCTGAAACTGAATCGTAATTTTTGGGATATAGAACTGTTTTCAACATTGTGTCAAATTCCCCAGGGTGTTTAATGGTTTCTATAGGATTTGAACCAGCTTCCAAAACCATTTCAGTAAATAAGGATGGGAAGAAATTGTTTTCTAAGGTTGTGTTGGTTTGTGGTACACGATTTTCATTGGGAGTTCCTATTTTTATTTTGAAATCGCATCTGAAATAAGCATCGGAAATCATGGAAGAATAACAAAACCAAAGTAAGTATTAGGTTTTAATAAATACATGATTTACAAAATTAATTTTTAATACAGAAAATTTAAAACATAAACAATTATATTGATATACACTTCTACTAGGATTGGAAATGTTCACCTCATGACCGCTCCTAGAGAATCGGTAAATATACTTCAATGTTATCTCCCCTCTTACACAATCAGTAGATATCTTTTCGGTCATGACCGCTCCTTCAGAATCGGTAGACATAGTTCAGGGGTCATGACCGCTCCTAGAGAATCGGTAGACATAGTTCATGGGTCATGACCGCTCCTAGAGAATTGGTAGATATACTTCGGGGTTATCTACCACCTTACACAATCAGTAGACATAGTTTAAGGTCATGACCGCTCCTAGAGAATCGGTATATATACGTCACATGAATTATATCCTTTTCCAAAACGCTTGTTCTTCACCACTTGTTCTTTCTAATTCTCGTTCTATTTTCGAAATCTGTATCAACAATTTTGAAACCTCGGATATTTGTCACAGAGTTTGGCAAAATTCTTGACCTCTTTGTATCCCCCACTGCCTGTGATGGTTAAAATATTCTTCGTGATATGAAATGTTGGTATCTATTAAACTTGTGTCTGGAATAAAACAAAATTGATATTTTGAAAAACAATAAATAACATATCATCTTAATTCCACCCTCTCGTCTCATGATTAAATCAAACAAAGAAACTACCTTGATTTTGCATGATTAAATTCCTAATCTTCCAGCGTAACAAAATTGAGACAGTGTTAACAGCTGAGAGTTTAGACTGTCTATGCTGACGTTGCACGCGTGGTATGTTATATGTTAATATAACCGTCTGCTATTCATAATGTGACATATATCCAGTCAACAATAGTCTGACTGACTGTTACTAGGCGTTAAAGGTATTTAGAGTGCGAGATTTATATTCAGTCTATTATAAATCAATAACTGTGTATAAACTAGTTGCTATTTTACTCTGAACTAAAAAAAATGTTACCTCCCATTAATCAATTGAGATTTTTATCAAATAATTTTAAAACCATTGCCTTTTTTATTTTCTAGTCTTTTATTTCGCATTTCTCTTATATGTTGTAATTCTTTCAACTCGTTAGATCTTTGCACTGCATCGCTTATATATACTCCTGCTTTTGCAACAGATCCAAGAGCTTGGGCTTCAGAGGAAAAAAGGGATTTATTGTTTGAGACAAAGTTGGCTACTTTTGAGATGAGAGATGATAGAGCTGAGAAGAAACCATCTCCTTCGAATTTGTGTTGTTCGCGTTTTAGAATTAAACTCATTCTGTTTTTAAATGAGTTAATTTAATGAAGAAATGTAGGTCTTTTTGGGTGTCAATTGATGAAAATATTGGGGGAATATTCCGATAGTGTGCATTTCCGGGATAGACGTGAAATAAAATGGAGCGGATATCCCGGAAATGCGCACTATCGGAATGCTCATATACCCCTGATATTAATTATGTATGTTATGTTGTCCCAATGAGAGATAAAGGTAAGGTCATTTAATATGTTTACCAATTGGAAATGTTGAAGCTCTAATATTAAAAGCTGATTCACCATTTTTTACCATTTTGTCAATTTTGCTACAACACAAGCTAGATTTAAGGAGTGATCAGGTATGTTATAAATAGCTAAATAAATGAATGCACCACGTGGGCCAATGACGACGGGAAACTGGGTTTAAAAAATCCGAAGGTATTAAACCATCTTTCAAAGAATATCCATTAATAAAAAAACTCTCATGTATCAAAATATTTATTTTAAAAACATAACACAGACATCTTCAGATATTTACACCATAATAAAGCAATGAAATATTGTGGCGGTTACAAAGTTTACAATAATTAACTAATATTAACTTAGATTGATAACAAATAATTTACTAATTAATACAGATATAAACATCTCCTTTATCTTTTGATGTGGGCGACTCAAATTACCAATCATGATCTGATGAAATTGTTATCCCACACATGTTCAAGCCCAAGGAGATATTCAACCAATCAAATGGTTTGTTATTGTTTAGTGGTGTGGTTAATTATTGACATTACAAGATATTGTGTCAATGTCTCTGACTTGCTGAATATATATATTATTATTTTAACATAAAACATAATGAAAGGGATATAATTATCTATATTTTAATTAGGTTGAAAAATAAATAAAACTTACAAAACTAACAAAATCACAATTCATGCCGAGATGAAGGAATACCAGGATTATATCTCTACATCAAATCACCAGTCTCATAAAAAAGGCAAAAATAAAATTTGCATGCGGTGATGAAAACCAACGGGCCTGTTTAACAAAATCTTAAGTAAATTTCAACCAAAATATTAAGAAATTAAGTAATCTGATTGGCTTATAAAGCTGAAATTAAAATTGAATTAAGCTTTTAGCCAATCGGATTACTAGAATATCAAAATCACTTTAAATTTCATAACTTAAAAGGGGCAGATGCGCCATTTTCAGGGGTTGACTTCGGTTTTGAATATATGTACAGAAGTACTAGAAATGTACGAAAATCTTTAATCCTTTCAAAAATGCCTCGAACTAGGAGTTCACATTTCTGAGACTACTAAGGAATGATCGGTTGAACGAATGGCGCATTAATCCCTTTAAAGCAAATAACTTAAAACTAAAATACAACATTAATCCATTGATCAAATTTTAACACATAAATAAGACAATTTTATGGATAGATACTTAATAAGTTTCAATTATCTTTAACTTGTGCTTCTAATGTGCCATTGAAGGATAATTAACACATCCAGACAGAGAAAAGAATGTATTGAGCACAATTTTATAATAGAGGTAAGATAATTTGAACATTTTCGTTTGGTCTGATATATAAAGCTTGTTTACTGTCTGTTTAATTTCTTCAGAATAAACTGCTCTTGTTTATACTGGTATTTGAAATCAGATTGGGTTGGGAGTACACCAATATCTTTGTTTGACAATAGAATAACAAATGATACACCTTAAAGTGGGAATATGTGTCGGCTTCAAAATAATAAGTATTATTAAAAGCATGTCTACCTACAGTATAAAGATACATCAGTTTTGTGAACATTATAAAATCACAACATTACATTGACTTTTTACATTAATTTTGATTTGTTAGTTAACTTAAAAATGAATAATTATGATTGAAGGGAGATTGTGTAAGAAAAATATAACATTATGAGATGAAAACAGGGTTATTTCTCTTGTCATATAATAAGACATTTGAAGGTCATTGTCAGTTCATTGGTAAATTTAGAATTTACTTTGTCTACAACTTGAGTTATTTGGAAAATAAGGAATTTAATCATGCAAAATCAAGGTAGTTTCTTTGTTTAATTCAATCATAAGACGACAGGTTGGAATTAAGATGATATGTTATTTGTTGTTTTTGAAAATATCAAATTTGTTTTATTCCAGACACAAGTTTAATAGATGCCAACATTTCATATCACGTAGAACATTTAAACCATTACAGGCAATTGAAGGATAAATTGTTAACTGGAGGATACCAAGAGGCCAAGAATTTTCATATAGAAAAGTTTGAAGAACTTAGTAAAAAGCCTAAAAATCTAACATTTGGTGAAAATCTTACTCACAATGAGGGTTTGTTAAAAAAAACTTAAAGCCCATCTACATGATATAGAAATTCCCATGACAGAACCATATGACCAGATAAACTGGGGATGAAGCTGTCCAAAATATTGTGATCAACTGCGATCGATTTTTAAAACAAGCTGCCTCCTGCTCCATTAAAGAATATGTTACTTTTGGATTATGGTTACAGAAATTATATATCTTAAATCACGGGAATTTCGAATCAACTGTGAAAAATGAGTTAACAATATCGGTAAGTTGGAGTAGAAAATTATGAAAACTTGCCAAACTCTGTGACAAATATCCGAGGTTTCAAAATTTAACAATTTCACGTGAAACTTGGTGGAAACGCAGTCTTATGTACAGGAAAATTATGAATGTAAGATTATGGAATAGTTCTACCCTGGATAAAATCTTAGATTTAGGAAATAGTAGATACACGAGTCTTTTTTGTGACACTAAAATACTTTTTTTCTTTTTTTAAATAAAACATGATGAATGTTAGAGGAACAATTTTGGATTCAACAATAGTTATACAGCAGAAGCAGTTTATCTACTTCATAAAAAATCATTTTGAAATGGTTGGAAATGTTGAGAGAAAAGAACCTTTAATTATTCAGGATAATGTAGATCATTAAAAAAAACTAAGCCAGAATTAATTCAGCTTCTTGCTACAAATAATATTGCAGATATATCTGAATAAAGAAATCAGAATCAAACAGTAAACAGAATCTACTTTACCCCCCAATAACAACACACAGTCATTACAATCTTTTTTTGGGTTAAAAAAAACAGAGGAATATATGGCCATATATAATGTAATAAAGGATTATATTGTTCATTATCTGAAAATTACGGTAGTTGTCAGACCATGATAGTTTGAAATGAAATGCAGAAAAATCTTTTTTTTTCTCACTGTTAAGGTGAATAAAGGTGATTGGTCTATCGAAGTACACAGAAAATACTAAGGTACTAAGATAACAGAAGATATGGTCAACATGAAGAATAATGACAAAGAATTATTAAAAGACGTTTTATCAGGCAGTCGTCAGAACGTGGAATGCAGAAGAAAAAAGTAGTTATAGTCTTTATATTTTGAACGCACATAGACATAAACTGTTCCATTTCATTCCACGTATTTATGACTATGTATGTAACAAATATATAACGTGGTAACATTGAGTTTGAGGCTTTTTTTGAGACACTAGTCTACCACAAAATTACAGGTGAAAGCATGTCAGTGGGCTCTCAAACTTCAGACACAGGTATGTTTATTTTAGAGTCTTTTTAATATGTAATTATCTGTCTTTTATAGCTGGGTGGCGTACAAACGGGTGCTGAATAGTTTTCCTCATTAAAACAATTTGGTTTTTTATTTTTCAGTTCAAGATGATGTCAATCAGATTTATTTAAGTGCAATAGAATCACATATAAACTATCACCATGAACATTTGAATCATTATCTGTATTTAAAGGAAATATTGATACTTGAGCATTTGAAAACGGTTGAGAATTATCATCTAGAAAACATGGAAAGATTGTGTAAGAAACCCAAAAATCTCAATTTCCACCAAACTATTTCTTCTAGTGAGGAGGTGTTAAAAAACTAAAAAAAAATGTACATGTGATATTGAAATTCCTGTGGAAATCAAACCATGTCAAAAATATTAATGAGGATGAACGTGTGAAGAAAATAGTAACAAACTGTGATAAGACTCTGTACGGTCAATTAAAGCATATGTAACTTTTGGACATTGGCTTCAGAAACTATACATACTAAATTGTGGGTTTTTTAGTTATTTTGTTAAAACAAACTTATCAATTTCGCTAAGTTGGAGTAGGAAATTACGACAACTTGTAAAACTCTGCAATAAATACCCAAAGTTTCAAAATGTATCAATTCCAATTTCGACATTACTTGGAATGATGCCAAAAATTGAACGGGAATTAAAAGATATTTGGAATTTTCAGGAGCTGCATTTCATGGTTAGCACCTTTTGTTTTGTTTTTTTATACATAATATAATTTTTTTTTAATCTCCACTTTGGTTTTCAACTGATGGAGGATTTGATATTTCCAGTAGAGTTACCTTTGTTAATCTTAATCATTGTGGTACAGAATGATATTGTGATATTGATATTCTGCTTGGAAACAATGCGTAAGTAGTAGGGGGCTAGGGCTAGGAACTTTGGTTGCTAGGCAACGGATGACGTCATAATGGTTGCTAGGGATGACGTCACATCCGGTTTAAGGATGCGCATGCGTGACTTCCGTTGCTAGGTAGATGACGTCATTGGGGAAACCCCTACGGGAATCCCGATGACGTCATGGGAAATCCCAAGGGGGAAATCCCAAGGGTCCCAAGGGGAAATCCAAAGGGGAAATCCCAAGGGTAAAACCTCAAGGGGAAATCCCAAAGGGAAATCTCAAGGGGTAAAACCCAAGGAAAAGGGAACTCTTTTATTTTGATTAGGTAGCCCTGAAAAGGGCTGTTTTTTTATTGGACTTGGGCGATCAGACTTGGTCTAATCAAAGTAGGACCGACGACAAGTACAGATTTCTTTCGGTTTTTTCGCACAGATCCGTCTATGTTTGGAAATCCTCCAGAAGGTAGGGCGAACTATGGCCATACACCATAGACACTGGAACCAGTCATCCTCTGGGTGATGGTAATAGGCCATAGGCCTTGTCTTATGACAAATGTCGCATTCCTTGAAATCTGACTTGTCCATGGCGAATATGATTTTACTTGGCATGGTACGCGGTTTTATAAGGCCACAGATCACGTGTTAGATCACGTGACAATTTCCGGTCATTTGATTGGCTCCAGCGCCACCTAGTCAAATCAATATAATGCACATACACTAGAAAATTCATTAGACATGGATAGATACTTGTTGTTTGAGGATCGTTTAGAGACGTTTGTCGATTGGCCTAAATCTAAACCTACACCAATCTCTTTGGCTGAAGCTGGGTTTTATTACCTTCAATACGAAGATACTGTAGAATGTTTTGTGTGTCGCCATAAACTGAAAGAATGGCAGTCTGACGATTGTGCTTGGGATGAACATCGACGTCATTCCCCACACTGTCTTTACCTGAAAATGGTCAAACCCAAATCTTATCGAAAAGGTTATGTTTACGAATGGAAAGGAATATTAAGAGACCAAACCAGTACCATGGCAACCAGTCATAAAGTATATCCCGATTTTAGATCGTGTTTGTCTGCAGCCAAAAAACACGACTTTGATTTTCCAGATTCCATGGGAATTTATTTATGGATCATGAAAGTAGACGAAAATGGAAAAGTATTAGAAGACATGGAAGTGGACAAAATGAATAAAGCAGAATTATTGTTAAAATGTTTAAATATTTAAAATGTTATTTAAAATGTCTTGTTGAAATAAAGAATTGTAAAATATCATAAAATCTCTTTTCATTTGATTTGTTGCCCTAAAAAGGGCTGTCAAGCTATGCCTGACATGGGGTGGGTGTCAAGATCAACACTGTTTAGGATTGTCCTTGTAGTACTTCAAAGCAATCTCCAAACAGCGTTTTTCTTGAGCCCATAGCCAGCGTTCCTCTCGCTGACGCTCGAGAATACCCGACACAATCTCCGTCCATCGCTCCTGCTCTGCAACTATGGCTTTACTTCTACAATTGCCCATTGTGGAAATGATGGCAAGAATGGCTCAGCGTTCTGTTAAATAGGCACAAATGACGTCACACAGAACACGTGATTTCTAACAACCAATTGTGTGTGAATGCGCATGCTTATAACGTCACGTGATTTTTTAACTATTTAACGGCTGATGTGGATGTCTAGATTCACTATCAGAGCAACCTGCGAAGATGGCATATCAACTACGACTTGGCGATAGAAAATACAGCAGAAGATTTCATACCAACTCCGTGTATTTGAACGTGGACTTTACACAGAATTGGAATAATGTTTTACCAGCAGAAGTTCCTCAACAGTTGGATAATACTTTTAACCAAATTATCCGGGACATTGGAAACTATTTGAGTTGTGACCCAGACGACCAAGTGAGATTCAGCGTGTCACACCCGGGATTGAAATCACCAGCTTGGATTCCATTCAACAAATGGTCGGGGATAAGAGCTCAAGATATTTTGAACCCTGTGGCGAGAATTCTGCAGTCCAATGAACAGTTTAGATTAGATGAACGTATGACACTTCATGTGTGTCACGTGAGTGTTCCCAAAGGAGATGGTCAAGGCAGATATCTATTAAAACGAGAATCATTATCCCTCGAAGATTATTTGAAGAGAAAGAAAGCGATCGTCGTGGTCAAGAACAAAGATAACTTGTGCTTTCAACGAGCTATTGTCATCGCCAAACACTACGCCAATAAAAACGACACACCAGAGTGGGAGACACAAAGAAAACGCTTAACAAAAAGTTCAGGACCTTACAGTTGGCAGACGAAATGCACCGAACGATTGATTGAACAAGTCGGAGCACGTCCTGAAGCTTGTCAAGGACATGAAACCTGGGAGTTGTACCAACAAACTTTAGGACAACAAGGCTACCAACTGTTTGTGTATTCTAGACTCCTATTTGGAAAATTATTGTACAAAGGCAAAGTTTCCGGTACCCCTAAAAAACTTCATCTCTATCATCATGACCACCATTATGACGTCATCGTCTCAATGCCTGCCTTTCTAGAAAGGAATTATTATTGCGACTGTGTGAAAAGG